CGGCAGCATGAAGTTTCGGCATTGTGAAATTTCGACATTATGAAATTTCGAATGGAAATTTCTATATGTTTTTCGACATTATTATATTTCGCCAATTGAAACTTCGAAATTACGAAATTAGCACATCTCGACATTTTGGTTTTCGTCACTAGGAATTTCGACATTAGGATATTCGAGATTTTTAAAGTAACCCAAAATATTCAGATCAAACCGGCGGTCTTTCCGGGGTGCCTCTCAAGGAGTTGAGCACGAACTGCATCCGGAAAATGTATAAGTAAGGATTTCAATGCCTTTCAATTTTTTTCTAGGCTAACTGGCGGCAAGGTGCCGATCATCGGCTGTGGAGGCATCGCTTCGGGCGCAGATGCATACGAGAAAGTGAGGGCCGGTGCCAGCGTTGTGCAGCTCTACACTTCGATGGTATACCAAGGTTTCCCAGTGATAGGACGGGTTAGTCGAAAAGCGTTTATCCTCACGTGCTTCAGGTAAAACGCGAGCTTGTTGAGTGTCTTCGCAAAGATGGGCTGACGAATATCAGCCAGGCAGTCGGAGCAGACCATCGTGCCACCAAGCCGTAAATTTAGATTTTTTTTTGTTGACGATTGCTCATTTTTATACTTTTGTGAATAAAATTCAATTCGATGTGAAACTAATTTTTTATCGGTACCCGTTTTGGTCATTTTTCATACATTTTTGATCAAAAAGTGAAAAATTTATGAATTTTTCGAAGTTTTTTGGAGCTTTTTATATCTTAAAACTGTGTCAAATGCTAGGAAAATGGTTTATATTTTGTTATAGGACCCTGCCGGGTTAATGGGAAGAATTAGTCCCCCCCCTGCTAACAGTCCAGTACCCGTCTATCACACGCAAATAAGACACGGGCAAACAAAAAAAAATAGACTTTCTTTCGTACATCAGAATTTATCGTGAAAAAAGTATTCGTAACTTCACTCCAATGAAACGGGAAAAATTATTGTTGATGAGTCGAAACTGTGAAGGGCCGTTGGCTGCCGCTGAAGATGTTCGTCTCCGTTCCCCACCAATCTCGAAAGTTGGGTCGCAACATTTTTTCGCTGAATTCTTCCGGTTCCCGACCAAAGCCCTGCGCCAAAACATAAAGTCTGTGGTGCTGAAAAATGTCAAATTCGTTTCGTTTCGCCGGAAATCATTTTGTGAAATTCATTTTGCCTAAATTTCAATTTTTCGAAATTTAAATTTCAGCGCATTGACCTTTTTGGCAAAATGAATTTGGAAAAGAATTATGTCAAAAAGGATGTTGACAAAACCTTGGCAAACCGAAAGCAAATCCTGAAAAGCTCATCCGGATTCCCGATACAGTATGATGGACCTACCATCTTCGGAGGTTCTGAGTAATTGTCGAAAAGCATCGTGCCATCCGGCAACCCGACGGATTTCACGATTCGTTTCAGTCTTTTCGAAAACTGACGATGAAGATCCTCCTAAAGCGGACTGGTTCAGAAAACTACGTAATAAACACCAACCTGGACCTCTTGGGAAGGTCGATAAAAATATTCAAGATCGACAACCATATAGAACATTCGCGTTTGCTCTCCTTGGGGTGGATGCTAAACGGCGCGTTAAGGCATTGACATTTTAATGCCGCGTAAGTTCCTATTAATCTATGTGTCTCTATCACTCTCTCTATCACTCTCTTACTCTCTCACTCTATCGCTATCTCTCGCAAAACCGTACCTTACGAATGAGAAACTTGAGGAGCGCCTTGAGGCCATCCAGAACTGGTTCTATCTCATTTCGATCATGAATATAGGGCCCCAGCCCCAATACGGGCAACCGAACCAGCTGAAAAGCAACAAGGCTGCGAAAGTAAAGGAAAAGGAAAACACAAATGCTTACGATTTCGGATTATGCCTACCTTCTTTGCCCACTGGCGCAACTCGGAGGTGGAAAAACCGCGATCGCGAAACCGGTCAAACCACTCTGCGACATTTTTTTCGTTCTAAACCCAACATTGGAAAATTGTACCTGGACCTGGACTGTTAGCGGGAGGGGTGTTTTTTTAGCAGGGGAAAAGTAATTTTTCTTCGTCTATACCTTCCTGTTAATAATAACTAATGCATTTTATATTTTTGTCGTGATAGAAAGGTACAAAAAATATTTAGACTTTTTGAAGTCTCGAAAATTTGTACCATTTTCATGCGTTTTTCGACCAAAAAGTTTTTTTTAGTTTTTATACTAAACACACTTTAGTTTCTATAAACTGTGTTACATTTTAATATAGGATCGTTCTGAATAACCGCGGAGACTTAGTCCCCCCGCTAACAAACCAGTGCCGAAATTCGAACGTTATATACTCGAAGCCCTGGAGGCAAACCTTATTTCGTAAGAAATCGTAAGATAAGCATCAACCAGGTAGAAAAATAAAAGAGAAAGCGCTTACAAAGTCGGGCCTCTTGCGAAGGCAGGACATGATGCTCGCCACACGTGTGATGCTTAACTAAAATACCGGTAGCTATTATACAGGGTATCCCAAAAAAAGACCCCCTCTAGCGCTCCACAGTGATGTCCGATGTTGACGATTTAGGTATCTATCGAAAGCTCTCGACGAGCTGAGGAGATATGCTCTTTCCGATTTTCGAAATTCCCGAATTTTTAACCCGATTATCTTCGTTTTTTGGGATTAAATTACGCAATTTTGTGCAAAAACTCAATTTAATCGGTTCCAGTCCCATCCAAGCTGTGTTTTCTCAAATGCCTTTCAAAGAGCTGACCCTGGACTGCCAGGAAAGATGTAAAAATTTCGAAAATGGTGTTTTTCTTAAAAACACTTGCATGGGGAAAAGGCATCGAAATTCAGCCAAGCCTAAATCGTCAAAATCCGACATCACTGTGGACCGCTAGAGTGGGTCTTTTTATGGGATACCCTGTATTCGGAAAGCTGCGCATCCGTACCTGGAATGTGTTGCTGCCCAGGGCTATGAAACGGCGTTGTGCATCCGGAAGTCTTCTTATTACGACCGAAAATCTGCTTCCATCAGCGTGGCCCCACCGCTGTGCGTTAAAATTGAAATTCTGGTTATAGGCTCTCAGCTTTTCGAGGAGCCGGAACCATGTCTTCGAATTGCCGACCACCGTCAACTCCCTACAAGCGACAAATAAGTTCTTTCCCATTATCGGGGGGAGGGTGAAATTTTTTTATACAATATATAGGCCTGGAAATTAATGGGAAGTTTTTTAATAGCCTATTTTTATTTTGTCGAAAGGTAATTTTGTAGGCATTTCAATGCTTTTTTTGCGCCTCAATTATTCGCCTCAAAATCGAAATTTCAGCACCTTAAATTTGGACAAAAAGTTTTTCGACAAACCGATAGCATAATAACATTAAATTATAACAAACTATGCTTAAACCGAAAAATTCCAAAAAAAAAGGTCGAAATTCTGGTCAAAATCGGCCTTTTTTGTCGAAAAATCTGTATTTTTGATATTTTTGAATAAAAATTTGTGAAAGTACTGACCGGTTCTCATTGCTCATCTTATTTTCCGATCTGAGATGGATCGAGCGCTCGGGATCCCAACTGTATTCAATTATAAACTCGACTCCTGGCTCGACTTCGATGTCTGCACGCCATGTCTGTAAACCAAAACAGATTTTTGCCAATATTTCGTTACCATCCGTCGTTCCAGAGCCATCGAACACACCGGACCAGACAGGAGTCGGCTGCCGGGTGAAGCCACCCCAAAGAACGCCTCGAAAGTTGATGTTCTATTTCCAGCGGGGGAAAAATGTGCGGGGGATTTCCGGTAACCTACTTCTTTTGTGCTATAGCTTTTTATGTAAGACGCCATTATCAGTAATTAAAATTAATTTGTAAATAAAATTCTTCGTTTGTATTTTTGACGCGCTAACTGATGAGGCTCATGAAAATTACAAAAATTTCGTAAAAATATAGAAACGTCGAAAACTAGGTTTTGAATGTACGCTCCCATGTGGAAATCTCGTTTAAAGCTTGTTGTTACTGTAACTATTGTTTATTACCCTTTTTTGGTGACGAAATTCAAACACTTGGTATTTTTCGATGCTGCATCGAATGACGTCCGCAAAAGCTCGAAAAAATCGCTAAAATACCGAACACTAGCATTCCAGTGGGTTTCAAAAGGTATTTTTGTCTTGTTCTAACTTTTTATTACAATTGTTCCCGCATCGTTTTCCCCACACTCGAATTAGAACAGATATACCTTATTAACGGCCCGAAAGCGATACTTTGCATCAGGGTTCAACTTGCTATAGAGTTTCCTCAATAAGAGTGAGGGAAGATCCTTCACGGCAAATTTGTCTAGCATGTTTTCTGAAAGCAAATAAGGGATTGATTTATTGCGCTTCTACTAAGGTTAAACCTTTCAAAAGCATACCTTTAAAAGTAATTTATTGGTCAGGAAGAACCTGGAAAATTATGAGCATCGCGTATGGGTAAATAGCAGGCGACTTGGGAACCCATCTGTAGTAGTAAGTACCCCCAGGTGCTGTTTTCTGGGTCAAAATCGCGCAACCATCCTAAGCGAAAATTTAGATCGATATCGATTTAAAAAGCGCGCATTACAATTTCGCTCTGGGCTTATTCGAACCGCCTTGAAACGCTGATTCTGGTGTGCTAACTGGCATGGTATACTGGCATACTAAGAAACTGACAGTAATCCGCGTTTCTTCGGTATTCGTAATCCGGTGTGCTTGTATTCAGCCGTATTTAATAGCGGATCGATTTTCGGATTTTATGACCTAATCTTTATCTCACGCTAATAAGACACTGACACACAAAAAACACATAAATCGATCAAGTGCGGTATGACAAGGTATTGAGGCCCAATTCAGAGGATGAGACAAAAAAAATCAACGATTCCAAGCAACAAGGCATACTCTCTGATTGAAGCCGGGGAGTGAGTTCATAAGCCGTTTCTAGACTCAAACATACAAAAATAGGTACATACAGATTAGCACAGTTTTGCAATGATTAGCAGCTTTACTACCAGAACGGGCACCATCCCACGTAACATTGGCACAGATTTTCGGCGTTTGTGGCCTCTTCGACGAGCTTGTTGAACTGCTCGACGACGTTGTACTCGCGCTCCGGTTCGAAGTCGTGTCCTAGGCAAGGCATTGTAATGTTTAGGCACCCTTACCGATGAGCTTGCTCTTGATCCGCTCGACAATTTTTCGAGCCGACTCTTGACTGAGCCCTTCGTCCTTGACCATCTTGGAAATGTCCTGCTTCTCGGCGGGGTTCCGTCGTTGCCGGTTCACTAAATGGAAAATAGTTATATTTAAGTTTAAAAAGGTGATTTTTGATCTCTTTAATAAAAATCGTAAGCTTTGACGTTTAAAAAAGTAAAAAAAAGGTTTAGAAGCACTTCCAATATTTATATTTGAAGAATAAGATCATAAGAAAGAAGTTGCCCCCCCCCCGATAACGCAAAAGATCCTGATTTTTTTATTATCAGCCACACACCTTCCAACAACCGCCAGTTGATGTTCGGGTCATTGACGAAGGCCTCAAGGACGGCGAGCAGAGAATCTTTGTTCGCACGCAAAAGACCGAGCACTCGCTCCGAAGTATGACGATAGTTACCATTAATGCCGCAGACCTCCATCGCCTGCAATGACCATAAAAATACAATTTCTATAGCCGACCTTGATGAGCATGCGCGTCAAGCGGAAGGGGATCTTTTCCGGGTACTTCTCCCGGGACATGGCCACCTCGAAGCAGTCGCCAAAGTCGATGTGCACAATCTTGCCCGTTAGCCGGTCGAGCATCAGATTTGAGGGGTGGCTAAAATTATCGTAGTCGGGACAAAAATGGCACCTACCGATCGCCAAGCCCCAGAATGTACCCAACCATGCTCATCACGGCCATCGAGCGGGTGTAATTCGTGCGCCGGTCGAACCAAACTTCGGAGCTAAAAAATGGAGCTAAAATGGTTCCTTGGGATTATCGGGTGGGGGGGCTTTCCTATGGTCTAATTTTTCAAGTATAAATACTGTAAGTGTTTATAAATGGTTTTTTCGATTCCTCCACGTGAAAACTTAGCAAAATTTGATGAAAAAATGACAGAATGACGATTTTTCTACCAAAAATGGCCAGTCGTTGCCAAATGTCGACTTTTTAAAAGTTTTTTGAACTGTTGAAATCTTGTTTTTCCCACTAAAACGCTATTAAAAATCCTGCATATTAAGTTATCAGACATTTCTAGAGTCATACAAAAAGCCCCCCCCCCGATAATGCGAAAGATCCAAAAATATTCTCAATCCATATTGGAACACAAACCTGGGACTCTTGAGCCACAAAATCTTCTGCAAATCATCGCCGCTCGTCTTTGCGAGGGCCAGGTTGAAAAGTTGCACCTAAAAAGCTGAATATTTAAAAGATTTCTGCCCACCTTCTGATCGAGCGGCAACGTCTCCAGATCTTGCGCGTTGGCTTGCATTTCTTTGTGCTCGGCGGATAGCGATATCTAAATTTGAGGTATACAAATTTATAAAAGTTAGGCCAATCTGACCTTCTTCTTTTCGCGGTACTCCTTGACGAGCGTGTGCAGCGTGTCGCAGTTTGGCACCCAGCCGATCAGGCCCGAGTTTTGCGAGAGGGCAATGATGGAATAGCGCTAAAAATTGTTTGGTTAAAACTATAAAAATCTTCAACACCTGAATGGCAAGATTCGTGCGTCCAGTTTCTTCATTTTTCGCTAGCATGGCGTTAACCAGCCCGAATAGCTGCATGACACGCTCGTCCTGACGCGGGTCTTCGTGTCCCTTCAGCAGGAACATGTAATCCCGTCCGTTGCTGCCTAAATATAAATATTAACGTGATTTTTCGCGTAAACTACCTCTCATCTGCATTTTCCTCGGCTTTTGCTTGCTGCTGATGACGGTCAGCAGGGTGTCGACGTAGCTGATGCGGACAATGTCCTCGTCCGTTTGTGCTGGGTCGTAGGTGCCGGGGACTGAAAATGAGGTGTAATCACCGCGTCCAGATTCTTACCCGAAATGGAGAGATCTTTGGCATTCTTCAACTTTGGCGACACGTACGTCAGGTCCAAGGAGGTCAGTTGTCGAAGTTGACCCTATAAAGTAGCGTATTTTGAGGCCGCCCTAAAATGTACTTGAATCCGCTTGAACACGTTGATGTAGATTTCCCAGGCCTGCGCCAGCTCTTTTCGGTCTTGGCCAATGCGGTAGGCGTTGCAGAACTTGAGCGCGTCCGTCAGATCGGCGAAGTAGGTTTGTACAAACGAGTGTTCCTAAACAAAGGCATGGTAATTTTAATGGATTTCCACGGTTCTACCTTGATCGTCATCGGGGCCGTCTTCAGCCTTTGGTGCATCGGGTCGAGGGTTGCCAGGAAACCGGGGATGTCGTTCTCCTGGAAATACAGCCGGCTCGCCTCGTCCAGGGCTTCGTTCCACTGTTCGTGCCAAAGGATGGCGCATCGAACGAGCTCCTCGGTGACCAGCTTCGCCTCTTCGGCCAGCTTGTTGTGCTTCGGGGACATGTCACCTAAAATTATAGCTACACCAAGCACCAAAAGACGCACTGAATAGCGTGAACAGCTCCAGCCCATTTTCCGAACCACTTGATTTTGCAGCGACCGTGATTGGGTAGACGAGCGCCTGTGAAAATTAATAAAACAAAGCTTGAAGTTCGGATACCTGCGGATACACCTTGCTGACGTCGAGGATGACCTGCTTGACGATGCCAGCATTCCGCGCCTCCCTCGTGTCCTGCGAGTTCTTCGCCTCCAGTCGAGCGATCAATTGAGGGACAGCCTAAAAGGATGTTTTTATTTGTCAGCAAAAATCAACCTCAAGCCACATCTCTGGCGGCAACTTCTTCAGCCCGTTGCGCAACTCGGTCGGCAACGTCTCGGTGATGTCGAAGAGCAATGCCATAAGTCGAAGCGTGTCTTCGAGCCGTGATCCCTTGGCGAGCTTCAGGGCCTCGATGAAGGAGGAGATCGAGTGCAGGGCGAGCTGCTTGATGTTGTTGCGCAGCTCGGCGACAACCTTCGCAGCAGGAGTCGCGCCAGTCTGAAAAAGGCGGTTCGGAAGAGGTAGGAAAGGCTTGCCTGGAACGTGATGGGCGGTGGTTGGGTCGAAGGGCCTGGTTGGCCAGAATTATACGGCAAATTGGGAGACAGGGCGCCAGGAACATTCGCTAAAAAGAGGAGTTTATATTCGAAAGCTTGACGCCTACGTTGATCTTCAGGAATACTTCCCGCTGGTGCGCTCAAGGAGCCGTGAAGATGGGCCTAAAATCGAAGCAAAATAATTTTAATGTCCTTTCGCATCATCGAGAAACAAATTTTTTTATAGAAGTCTAGCCATGCCAATAACTTAATAGTAACCAGCTTACGAATGTTTTTAGAAAACTAAAACTATATTACAACCAGAAAACCCTTTCAAAAATTTTCAAAAAGTGAAATTTTGGTCAAAAATGGCCATTTTTGGATAAAAAAAATCTATATTATTCCTATTTTTTTAATTCTAAAAATATCACAACGTGGAAGGTAGTTTAAAGATATATTTCCGAGTACCTGGCCACCAGCCGAATTCGTGACGGCTAGAAGACGCTCCCGTTCCCTCTGTAGCGTCGCGTAGTAGGTGATGGCGAGACGGTGCCATGCCTAGATAAAATTAGAACGTTTCCCTAAACTCGTCTACCTTGTGCCAGCTGGGGTCATGCTGCACGGCGGCTTTTCGGTAGAGCTGAATGACGGTTTGGGAGAGGTGGCGCTCGTTCTTCATCCTCGACATCGGTTCGGCCTGGGCCAACAGCTGGGCCAATGCTCCTTCAGAAGAGCCGACCTAGACGCAAAAAGTAAGAGAGATCGAAAAAATGATACCGATTGCTTGGGATAAGAGTTGTTCTCAATATTTCGCAGTCCTTCCGCGTACGTCCATTCGCCAAGTTTCACGAATACCTGAAAAGCGGTTACTTTTAAAATGTCGAAAATCGTAATCTCGAAGTTCATAATGTCGAATTTATAAAACTTCCACAAATTTCATAACGCTGAAATATACTGGTACAAATCTCTCGGATCTCTCAAATACCGTGCAAAAACTTTCGAAGATTTGCTAATCGGCTGTCGAAATATTATTTTGTGGAAAATTCATTTTTTCGAAAGTTCAATGCGCTGACAATTCAATTTGCGACATGTTTAAGATGAATAATAGAGGCGAAAAGGGCATTAAAATTTGGATAATATACGCTTTTCGACAAAAAAATAACCCATTTTCGAAAAAATCACAATTTCGACATAATGTCATTTCGAAATTAGCTCGCAATCGGCCGACGAGATTTTGACCAACCTTTGCCAATGTCCTCCGCTTTTGCGTGGGCATTTCCGTAGTGGCCGTCCTTTCCAAATGGCGCGACTAAAAGCAGTTTCAAATTAAAAATAAAGAAAAAGCTATTTACCAATGCATCCAGCGTGGCCACCGCCGACCCGTGTAGCCCATCAGCCCACAGCTGCTTGCAGAGGGCCATCACCAAATTTGGCTTATCCTGGGGCACAGAGGCGGTGTGGAGCTCGGCTCGGGGCGGGATACCTGCAGCACGATATTTTTAATAGCGTTTTTATTTCCATTTAAAGTCTAATTTTAATAAAAACAAAACATGAATATATCAAATTCCCCTACCTAATAGACTGCGCAGGACATCCTTGGCCATGTCATGACGTCCCTGACGGCGGCACAGCGACGCAAACTTCACCTTGAGGGGAAGAATGTGATTTGTCGGCATGACCATCTCCCTAAAAACAAGTACAGGTAAGCAAGTTAAAGGAATTGCGTAATTAAGCCAGTAAAAATTACCGTAAGAACAAGGCGCGCTGCCACTGCTCGACGTCTTCCTGGCAATCGAGCAGCCGGCGAGACCAGAGCAGCGAGATACGAAGTCGCCGATCTTTGCGGACTAAAAACGGTTCCAATACCAAAGAAATACGAATTTACCTCGATACTCGATAGCCTCCTCCAGCTCGGCAAGTTGCTGGATGAGCACCATCGCTCCGTACGCCCTCTCGTAGCTCTCGCCGGCCAACGCCGTCAACTCCGTGTCGTACATGTCTCGAACCTGGTAACACAACACTAGAATCTCGTAGAATCTCGAACCTTATCAATCAAAAACGTCGCCTTGCGGAATTCTTGATTTCGCACGGCCAGCACGGCCCTCAAATACGAGCCATCTTGCGTGTTCGGTGACACCATCTCGACGAATTGGGCCATTTTATCGAGTTGACCTGTATATGTGAAAAACTAGATTTGAAAAATTGTATATATTTACCTTCCGCCCACGCTCCTCTTGCTGCCATGACGGCAATCTTCGGGTTCGCCGTCGCCTTCTCAAACGACGCCATCTCGTTCAGGTCCTTCCATCGGCCGAGGGCCTCCAGACATCGCATCTCGTACTGGGCGACCAGGTCTTGGTTTGGCTCTTTCTAAAAAGTAAATTAAGTCGGTTCTTTCGCATTATTGGGGGGACCAAAAATTTTTTTATAAATCTAGAAATGCCTCGTAACTTAATAGTAACTTAATAATATTTTAGCAGTATAAAACTATACTTCGACTAGAAAAATACCTAAAAAATGTCAAAAATATTTTTGGAAAAGTCGACATTCTGGCCAAAAAACCGCCTTTTTTGATTGAAATTAATGCTTTAGAAATACGTCAGTTATTTATATTTAAAACGGGAATTAACTTTAGACGCGTGTAATTTTTATACCTGATAAAACTCGAGGGCTTTCTCCCAATCCTGCAGCTTCTCGTACCATTTCCCCTGGAGGACCGCTTGGATTCCATGCTTTTCAGCGTATTTGACGACGCCAGCCGCCTCATCGTGCACGTTCAATTTGTTGGCGTACCTGAAAAGGGCAAAAACTGCATAAAAATTGGATTTTTTTACGTGATGAGGGCTTGACAATCTTCAGGGGTCACCGGGTATCGTTTCGCAATTTTGCGCTCGATCTCGATTTCCTGAAGTAGGCAATTTTTTGGTCAAACTTTTAGAATCACTTTGTATCTGAGGGCCTTTGCATAGGCGCGGGTGCCTTCGGCGGCACTTCCCAGCACGTGATACGGGATCGGCAATGGGCCTTTCTCAGAGTGGTCCATGAATTCGGCGAGGTTGAGGATCGTCTGCACAATGTCCGGTTGTCCACTGTTTCGCAGGGCATTTTCGAGGTTTTTCGTCAACTAAAATCGAATTATGGAAGCAGCGTGACAAAATTTTTTTAAATTTGATATAATTTATTTCTTAACTATCTTTCCTGACTTTTCTTAAACTCATTTTTCCTAATTTATTTACTGATCTTGATTTTATAAGAGCCAACGAAACGTTTTGATACCAAAAATGACAGCATATGTCCTTTTTTTGGCTATTTTTACGCATTTTACTTTCTTGGCAATTTTCGGCAAAATGATTTTGGGAAAAATCAACAAAATCCGCCAAAAATCACCTCATCCTGGTGCGGTTGGCTCAGCTCGGTCCAGACGGACATGAAAGCCGCGTTGAACAGATCCTTGGCCAAATGGGGGTAGAGATCGGTGAGTGGAGCGGCACCTCTCAGCGCAGCGCTGCTACTAAAAGGAATTTTCGTCTAGAAAAGGCTTGTAAAAGCGCACCTGAGCCTGAGGCAAGCCGAGCGCAACTTCGTCAACCATTGCGACCAGTCCTCGCGATTCACCAGGGTTTCCGTCTGCAGTGGTGGCTGTAAACTACAGACAACAAGTACGAACCATCCAGTTGGGGCGGACGAGCTCGGCGCTGAACTTTTGCTTCTTGACCTGGACGGGTTGGCGGCGCGTCATCTTCGACCGGCCCTTCGAGTGGTCAAACTGTGATGGTGGTAGGGGATTCGGGGCACACGCCGTGCCAGCCATCTGTAGGAAAAGTGGGTTCTTTCGCATTATCGGGGGGGATTTTGAAAATTAGGATAGAATTTTTTTAATAAAAACAGCGGACATGTTTTGTTGCATTATACCTATAAATTTTGATTAAAAAAATCCAAAAATATCGATTTTCGACAGAAAATTGGCTGTTTTTTTGGCAGTTTCGACTTTTTGAAAATGTTTTGATAGTACTAGGTATTTTTAGACGTATAAAAAAAATTTGAACCTCCCGCCGTTAATACAAAAGCACCGAAAAATGTAATAAATCGGCCAAGCGTTCCCTTACATGCTTCAGCTCGTGGTCCATCATCGTGAACGTCAACCGATCATACTCGGGGCATTGCAGGTTGTGCTTCAACAGGGCCATGTCGACGCTCGTCCGGTAGACGTCAAAGTGGCGCCACATCTGAATAGAATTTTATTTTAAGGCCCAAGACTTTAAGCAACCTGTCCGGCGACAACAACAAGTAATTTGAGCAGCGGCTTTTGCAGAGAGACGACATCGACACCACGTAGCCAGGCTTGCATCAGGCGGGGCGCAAATTCGGAGACGTCCTCGCTTTCGGCTAAAAACGGGTGTGTAATGATAATGTCGAAATTTATACGTAAAATCGAATTTCCATGATGCCGAAATTTCATAATGTCGAAATTTTTACAATTTTGGTATTCCCGACACTATTAAATTAGACATTATGAAATTTCGAAATTAGAATTTCGCTATCTTTAAAGTAACCCGATTTGGAGAACTCATCAATTGGAGGCATTATATTAAATTTAAAATTGTATAAAAAAAGTTTAATATTATAATTTTAATATTTGTTTTTTGTAGGTTAGAAAATATCCACCTAATTGCAGAATAGTGTTCAGCGCCAATTCCCGCACGTTCATCAGGCTGTTCGAGTCGTCGACAATCGCAAGGATCGGCGGCAGCACGAGGTGGAGGTGCGGCGTCAAACATCCGGACAGCGCACCCACGCACGCCAGCACCTAAAGAAACCGTTTCGCTCAAGACAAACCGCATTCCAATACCTTGGTAGTTAGCCGTCGTTCGGCCGTCCGATCAGACTGGATGACGCGTAGCAAATACGGGATCAGCTCGTCGACGAACGGGGCGAAATCCTTCCCCAGCGCCGTCCCCATCAATTCCAACGCGCTGATGATGGTGAGCTTCATCGACTGGTCTTCGCACCAGGCTTCCTAAATGGGATGCTATTGTTCTGAACATGGGTTCTTTTGCATTATCGGAGGGGGGGAATCGAATTTTCTGACAGAAAATTTTGCTATAAAATACAATAAGATAGAAATAAGCCAAAAAATGCAAATTTTAGCTGCAATTCTGAAAACACTTTGGCTATTTAAGTCGAAAAATCTATATTTTTGTACACTTGATTGAAAATCTATAAAGATTTTATGCTAAGGAATAGCAACAAACAGTTTTGGAAAAACGTTCTCAATCCAATCTAAAAACAATCGGTTATAAAAAATCTATAAAATAATCATTAAAAAATGTAAACTTAAAAAATTGGATTTTGAGAAACAAATTTCGTTCCCCCACCGATAATGCAAAAGAACTTGCGCACGAGCTCGACTTACAGCAATCATTTGAAAGATGGACTTCATGTAGTTCTTCGCGTGGAGCCGGACAATGTCGACGAGTTGGGCTATTTGGGAGATGAAGAACTTCCGGTGTTCCAGCTGTCGGTTCTTCCGCGTCACTTCGATGAGGCGGGGTAGCACCTAAACGAGGATTTAACAAACAACCTCCAAGCCAACCTGTTCGACATAGGCCTTGTATTCATCCTGGTTCATCCCTTGGAAAATCGTGAGCAGCGCTTGGGCGATCTAAAGAAAAAGGGATAGTGGTATACTTGTTACTTCTTAATTATTCTGAATCTTAATATTAACCACTTATTTTACCTTAAAAATTTTAAAAATAAAAGGTTAAATGTAAAGCTCAAAAGTTTAATTTTAAAAAATTACTAATTTTACCTGTTTGTAATGATCGTTGTAGGCATCGTCCTGGACCATCAACATCAGATTGGCCAGCGTGATCGACGGGTAGAATTCCTCGAGGGTGCACTTCTCGTAGTTGAACCATTGGATCACCTCTGAAAACGGCATTTTCCGTTCCAGTTTCTTCTTTCGGTGCTTTTGCATTATTGGGGTGGGGATTTTTTATAAGCTCAGAAATGCCTATAACGCAATAGTAAGTAATTTTAATAGTGTTTTAGATGAAAGCTAATTATATTTAAAGTCGAAAAACAATTAAAAAACTTAGAAAACATTTATTTAGTAGAAAAATCAAGATTTTTTGTATATTCTAAAAAAAAAATTGTGACGCTTCCTCTATTTACATTTTAAACATAAGATCCTTAGAAAAAGGCGTCTTTCCTTACCAATAAATAAGCCATTTTTCTTTCAAGTTCACTATTTTCAAATTCTTTTTCTAAAAGGTAAAAGCCTAACCTTGTCTCGTATCCGTTTGGAATCTAGTAGACGGCATCGAGAGGGCGGTGGAGAGGGTTGAAGAAGACGGGACGTCGCCAAGATACACCTTCCGTAGGTACGGATCCAGCGCGCCAAGCACACCGAGCACTTGGATTGTTTGTCGCCGCATCTCGGCGCTCATTTCCGTCTAAAAATGAGAGCTCTGATCAAAACGTGCAAAATTGCCTTCAAAAGCCGGAAAAGATCATCAAGAAGCGTGGGGTAGTCCTTGTACGGCTCCATGACATAGGCGGTGGTTCGAACGATGCGGCACATTGCTCGTAGCGCAGCCTGAAAAAAAAAGGATTTTTTGGTTCTTGGGCATCATCGGTGGCGGGGGGGGGCGAATTTTTTCTTACAATTCTAGAAATCCCTAGTAACTTGATAGTAAGTATGTTAAAAGTGTTTGTTAGCAAAATTAAACTATATTTCAAGTAAAAAAAACTTAAAACAAATGAAATAAACATTTTTTTAGTTAACTTCTGGTCGAGAATCGGCGTTTGGTCCAAAAACCCATAATTTTGTTGTTTTTTTGGAAAAATTGTGATATTTTAAGCGTAGAATATACAATGTTAGAAAAAATTGGATCCTTAGTAAAAAGTTACCCCCCCCCCCCCAATAATGTAAAAGACCCGATTCTTTAAATTTTAGTAAAAACCCATACCTGTCGCCTCCTACGATGGCTGCTGTCCGTGATGCACTGATGCAGGAATTTGAAGACGACGGGAAGATTTCGAACCATTTCCGAGCCGCCGACGAGCGCCAGCTCGCCCAGACAATCCAGCACCTCCACCGTCACATCGGAATGGACGGATTCGATTCTAAACGCAGAAATTCTTGGAGGTGCAAAATTTCATACCGTAATCTTGACAGCAGCGCTTCCGTGGTTGGGCTGACGTACACCTTGATGAAGTCGGGGTTCTGCCTAGCCAGCTGGCAGATGAGACGGGCGCTGTGCTGCTCGAGCCTGAAACAACGGGATAATTTTAATTTTAATGAGACCTTTGGATTACTACGAATAAAATTAAATGAATAAGAAACCCGTTTAATTAATTTTATTTTTTAATTGAATTTGCAAAAAAAGCTCGCCTGGCATTTCCACTCGTTTTCAACTGGCTCAACGATTCGAGCAGTATGCGCCGAAGTCGTGGTATGATGACAGCTGGATTGACCTCGGTCATACGGATGCTAAAAATATACGTATTTTTCTGTCCATGGTGCCAAAAAATACCTTCCGAGGAGGCGAATAGCCGCCACCTGGATTTCGGGCTTCTCGTCATGAATGCACATGAAAAGCATCGTCAGCATCTGCAAATTCAGCTAGTTAACGTAAAGTAACGGGAAAAAACCTGATCTGTTGCCAACAACGACAGCAACGGGAAAGAGCCATTAAAAAGCGTGTCCAGCACGCAGAGTCGCACTTCCACGTCTAAACCAGAAAATAGAGAAGATCCGGAAAAATCACCTCTATCAACGACACCCACAGAAACAACCCTGGTGAGCACGCCGATGATCGTCTCCTGGAGTTGACCTCGATATTCGCGATGGCAACGGTGGAAGACTCTAAAAAAGATAGCGTTTCAAAATCCAACCAATCAACCCACTTCATAAACGGAATGATCATGTTGACCGTGCACTTCACCGCCGCGATCCGGACGTCCTTGTTCTGACACACCAAATAGCCCTGGAAAAAGGAGGTTAAAATTAGGATCTTTCGCATTATCGGGGGGGGAGGTTAGGTGAATCCAAATTTTTCTTACGAGTATTAACTTAAAAATATCCGAAAAATCTAAAAGATAAATTCAAAATCAATCAAAAACGAATTCTAAAAAGCCTTACCTCCGATATGTACTTCAAAAACGTCAGCAGATCACCGCGAGGGAAATTGAAGCTGCCCAACGTGTCCAGGGCGAGCACCGTCAATTCAGGGTCGCCTATCTGGGGCACAAGTATTAACCGGAAATTCCCCTGACGACCAACCTCGGGTGGGCCAGCAGGCATTCTGGCCTTAGGGTTCCCACCGATTGCCGCGTATGGTTGTTGGGCTAGAATTCGGCTGATATGGTCGAGCATTCCCTTCTGGATCTCCTCCTTCAAACACTGCGTCTTGTCCACCACCAGCTTCATGACGCGACAGAGGCCTTAATTTGACGATGGGTTCTGGTTCTGGACTGTTAGCGGTGGGAGCAACTTAGCCTAATATCTAGTAAGTTTTAGCGTCTTATCGCGTATTTTTAGTGTTTTTAATAGTGCACTCTCACCAAAAGACCTAAAAAATTTGAATCAAAAAAATTTAAAATTTTTGTAAATCAAAAATTTTACGAAGATTTTAATAATTTTTTGCAGCTTTCGATACTTAAAAACAACGCGCAAAAAATTAGATAAGACTTACTAAGATTTATTCCAGCTGGCATGATCAATGCAATCAGACTCCGTGCCTCCAGCTCGACTTTTTCACCATAGGCCGGGATGAACAGCTTCAGGAATGTGTATACAGCACTGTCGAGCGGTCGCTTTCTAAAGCGATTTATGGCGCAGGAGAGGGTAAACTTACTTGGAAAACGATTGGTTGATATTTTCGCTGACTATCGCGACCACATCCGGTATCCGGTCCTCGAAGGCGGCCGGATGGAGCTTCATGAACATCCCAACGGACGGTATGGCTTGCTGAAAGTTTAGGTACTAATTCGTTAGTGGGGAGGGGGGCAATTTTAGCATTTTATAAACCTTCTGCAGCATTTAACAACGTTTTTAGACATAAAAAGTTTCTAAAAAACTTTAACAAGCTTGAGTTAAACTTTTTAGATATAAAATGTCCAAAAAAGTCATCAAATTCGAACATTTTTGATCTGGTGGTTAAAATATATGAAATAGGCTTAGCCGAAAGTCGAATTCTCAAAAAATTGAAATATTTTTTAGAACTTTCTAGCAATTAAAATGTGTTAAAAACACTAGAAATACACTATTTAATTCATTTAATGATAGGTGTCGGCAACAGGTAAAAAAATTAGCTCCCCCGCTAAAGAACCAGAACCAAATTTTTCTTTATGCACTCGTAGACAAGACTTTTCCATACCTGAGGGCTGGATCGCATTTGTCTGAACGTGTACTCGAACATCTCCCTCAACTGCCGTTCTCGCGCTCCGAATCCCTCCCAGGCGCTCAATCGTGGGTACAGCTCGAGCAACACCGTTTGCACATACGTCGATTTGGAATTGCGGGCCTCGTAGGCGACGTGAATAATCTATAGATTCAAAAAATCATCATGTAACTATATTTTTACCATTTCCAGATTTTGCACAACGATGCTCCTCGCTGTCAGGCTCTCAACAATATGCGTCGTCCGGTTTTCGGTCAGCCAGTCGACCGGGTTCGTGGAACCGCCGGAGAAAGTGCCGACTTCATGGCCCAACGTTGACATTCTAAGAATAGTTGTTTTTTGGGCATAGAATGATCTTCAACCTGTGCTTCTCGTAACTGGCGTCACTGATCTTCACCAATTCGTTGAGCACGAGCAGCATCGAGTGTATCCGATCGTCCTTGGACAAATGCGACATCCGGTTGTTATCACCGCTCGAAATATCGCAAACCATGGCTTCGTTGAAGCATTCCTAAGCCAGATTTCAAGATTTCGGCATGAACTTACCCGATACCACTCCGTTTTCTGGCGGGCTTCTCGCTGGGAAGTGATCGTCAAAGCGGCATGGAGAGCATTTACAGCAGCTATGCGTAGATTTGGCTTAAAAAAGATCATAAAACGGCTCTTTCGCATTAACGGGGGGTACCGAAATTTTCTATAAGACCTGCAATATCTAACACCGTAATGGTAATTTCAGTAAAGTATAACTAGCTTTCGTCTAGAAAAACTAATTTAAAAAGTTTAAAAAGGCTCAAGAAGTCAAAATTTTTGTGAAAAATAGGCCAAAAAGTCAATAAATCAATATTTTGGACCTTTTTTAATAAAATTTTGCATAGCTTTCACGTTCAGCAATCGTAAAAAACGTGTCCAACACTTCCACGATTCATATTTGAAAAATTCGAACCAAGAAAAAAAACAGGTCCCCCCCCCCCGATAATGCGAAAGTACGCAGAAAACCAAGTGTAATTTCACCTTGGCATCGTGCACCACTTTAAATATATTCTTGAAGAAATTTGTGGCCCTCGCGAAAAAGGCGGTCGGCGTGAAGAGGGCGAGTTCTCGTGTCAAAAACGCAGCGGCGAGGCGACGTTTTTCTTGTCTAAATTAGATAGTAACCCTTGAAAACCTAAAAATACCGCTCGTTGTCCTCTAACCATTCCAGGCATTGATCCATACATTTGTTGACTAACTCCGTCACTTTTGAAGTCTGTATCAAATAAGAGAGCCCGCGGGCGGCCAGTTCCATCGTGTGCTCATCAGTGTTTGGTTGTGTCAAACTCTGTCAAAAAGATAGAAACTTCTGAATTCCCTCACTCGAAGCAACAAGTTAGCGTAGCGATTGACTCTGGAGGCTTCTCCCGTGGCCGGCGCTTCGAGTATACAAACGATGATGAAGATGCCGGCTCGTTTTTCCTCGATTTCAGAGCTTTCCCGCAGGCAATCTTGCAATTCGTTCTAAAGCCATTTAATGCTTATTTTATTGTGCTCACTTTCTCTTTGTCCTTCGAGCTTGCGTCGAAAGCATGAAAGAATTCGTTCACGTAATGGTTTCCCTCATCTTTCAGTTCATTTTGGATGAATCTAAAAACAAATAAAATCAAATTAGGGCCATTTTTGAACCTGTAAAGTTCACGGGCAGCTTTGATGCGTTTTTCATCGCTCTTTCTTTTCAGCCCGGACAGGAAGGAATTGGCGAGGCTGCGGGCGGTGGCGTCTCGGGGTATGCTGTGGCCGGCCGCTTCTTCATATAGAGATTCTAGCATGTGCCCTGGAAAGATAAAGATTAAAAAATCGTGAAAATTCTATTTCGAAGGAAAAAGAGGGTGTCACGTGACCAACTTCAAAAACGAAAAAAGCGCCTATTTTGAAGCCTATGTTTGGGGGCCTAATATTTGATGTGGCTGAAGCACTTTGTCGCGCCATGTGGGCGGCCGTCTCGAAAAAACTTCTCTAAAGCCCACGGCCCTGATCCATAGTGCCCTTTTTGCGCTGGCAAGATAAGGACTTGAGGTCCTGGGCCCCTGCCGTTCCGGTTGGCTACACTTTCCGGTTTGCCTCTGTGCTCTCTGGTGGATGAGTTACGCCGCCCGGAAATCGGGGCCGACCGGCCGTCAGAAATTTTCGTCGAATTGCCTCATCGCTATGGAAACCGAGCTTCTCGGCTCACTTTCCAGGATAATCTCCTTTCCGATTTCTTGCCGGAGATGCTTAGACATTCCTCTTTTGGCCCTAGTCTGTATAGCTGGGCGAAAAGCCGGTTAAAAAGCATTTAGAATGTGCCCCAAAACAAAACCCCCTTATCCGGCCTCAGGCGTGTCCGATTTTTACGATATGGGTATCGATAGAAAGTTCTCACAACGGGCGAGCCTAGCATTGGGTCATTAGGCTCAGTAATTTTGATTTTTCGGAAAACCCTGGCGAGAAAAGCAAAAATTTCAGAATTTCCAAAATCAGAAACTCGTGCTGGAATCGCCTTTTTGAGAGCTTTCGAGAGATACGTAAATCGTAAAAACTGGACAGGACTGCGGCCGGCTAGAGGGAGGGGGATTTTTTGGACACCTGTATAAAAGTCAAACTCAATTTCAAGAATACTAAATAGCCTAATTAAAATCATATTGTACTTTTTCAGGTCCTTATTCCAATGATGTTACGCCGAGGCCCGGCGACAATCCTCGCAATTGCGCGAAGAGGCTACGCGCGCAACACCATCATCAATTTTGTGCCCCACCAAGAAGCATGGGTCGTCGAGCGGATGGGCAAATTCCATAAAGTGTTGGAGCCGGTATGAACAATTTTCTTGCGGCAAATTAATATTCTTAGGGCGTCAACATCCTTATACCACTCGTCGACAAAATCAAGCACGTACAAAGCTTGAAGGAAATCGCCATCGAGATCCCGCAACAAGGGGCGATCACCATTGACAACGTGCAGCTGCAAATTGACGGTGTGCTTTATCTACGCGTCGTCGACCCTTTCAAGGTATTTTTGAATTTTTTTAACTGGTGCTTTTGCATTATCGGGGGGTTGTATTAAAGGGCTGCCGACGGCATGTGTCGATCCCCCCATCAACAAATTGGCAAGTAGCCAACAGGGGAGAGAGCGCGCCCAGGGGAGAGGCGCAGAGACATTTTCTTTTCCGCGCGTAACCGATTCACTATGCCGTCGGCATCCCTTTAATCGAGAAATGCCTAGTAACTTAATAGGAAGTGTTTTCATAATATTTTTAGTAAATAAAACTCTGTTTTAACTAGATAAACTATCTGAGCAGTTTTGAAAAAGCCGAAATTTTGGTCAAAAACGGCCTGTTGTAGAAAAATCTATTTTTTTTTGGATTTTTGCATCACAATTTGTAAAGTAGAACAGCCCCGTTACAAATAGTTCCGTTATTTATATTTAAAAATTGGTTCTTAAGAAAAAAATTTTCTCCCCTACCCCGATAATGCAAAAGCACCGTCAATCCTATTGATACTTATAGGCCTCTTATGGAGTTGACGATCCGGAGTTTGCTGTCACCCAGATTGCGCAGACCACAATGCGTTCTGAAGTAACTTGCGTTTCGTTGTTTTTATAAGCTTTTCAGGTCGGCAAAATCTCGTTGGATATGGTGTTCAAGGAGCGCGAGACGCTAAACGAAAGTATCGTGGAAGCCATCAACAAGGCAGCTTCCCCGTGGGGCATCACTTGCCTGCGATATGAAATTCGTAAGATTTGGAGACCTTATTTAAGATTATTTTTAGGGGATATGCAAATGCCAGCGAAGATCCAGGAAGCCATGCAGATGCAGGTGGAAGCGGAAAGGAGGAAAAGAGCTGCAATCCTGGAATCGGAAGGTCAGAGAGTGGCCGCGATCAACGTCGCTGAAGGAAAGAAGAAAGCTCAAGTCTTGGCATCGGAAGCGAAGGAATTGGAACAGGTATATTTACGAAGTATTAGTGGCCATAGTTTAAGCTATAGTTTTTGGTTCTGGTCTGTTGGCGGGGGGGCGGCGGATTCTCAACACGGGGAAAACCACTTTTTTTTTCAGCCTATGCCTACCGTTGCTAATATATATAACATATTTTAATGGTATTTTTACTAGTTTTTCATTGCTAGAAATTTTTTTAGAAATTTTAAATTTCGAGCTGTTAAAGGGATGCCGACGGCATAGTCAATCAGTTACGCGCTGGAAAGAAAATATCTCTGCGCCTCTCCCCCGGGCGCGCTCTCTGCTCTGTTGGCTACTTGCCAATTTGTTGATTGGGGGGAGCGACACATGCCGTCGGCAGCCCTTTAATGTGTTTTTGGCATTTTTCGTGGATTTTTGGCCAGAAGGTCACATTTTTCGGAAAAAGTGCAATGTTTACTATGTAAAATGCTATAAAAAATGGCGGAAATTTGTGGGTAGGGCCTTACGGGATTGCTGGAAAATTTGGTCCCCCCTCCCCCGCACAGTCTGGAACCAAGTTTTGTTCCGAAAATCGAATCACTGCTTTCAGATGAACATTGCTCGTGGTCAAGCCCAGGCCATCCAAGTTTACGCAGAAGCTCGAGCTGCGGCGTTAGAACGCATCGCGGCCGCCATGGAGAAGGTCGGATTTTAAAAGTATTATCGAAAACTCAATTTTTTTTTAGAATGAGGGCTCTGGCGCCGCGTCCCTGACGATTGCCGAACAATACGTTGAAGCCTTTTCCAAGCTCGCCAAGGAAACAAACACAATTATTTTGCCCGCCAATATTCAGGTGAGCCCCTTTCGCTCAAACTTACAAAAAAAAATTAGGAACCAAGCGCTATGGTCGCGCAGGCGATGGCTGTTTACAAGAGCATCACCTCGGAGAATCGACGTGCCGAACGGTTGGACCCGCAAAAAATACTGGATCAGAGCAAGAATGACAAATAGCCGCCCCTTCTTTCGTTAATTTATGTTTTTTTTTGCTTAAAATCGTAGTTCAGCATTGTTTCAATGGTATGAAAAAATTCGACACAATTCTTATTTAACCCGTGATCTATCACATATTCGCACGGGTACTGGCCCTGGTTTAAGATGTTGTTGTGCTTGCGTTTGTAATGTGACTATGATTCCCGGTTTGTTCAAGAAAACTGCAGATTTTACTTGTGGTTTTGAACATAGTCAGTTTAATTTAAATAAAATTTTTTCTGCAAACTTCCCAACAAACAGGAACACGGGCTTGTTCATCCCTCAATTTCGAGCGTCGTTTTGTTGTGGGGGTGACATTTATTATTGCGTCTATGCGGGCTGCCGCTCTCGCCGCTGGTTAGGTATTGATTCAAGGCTCGGGATTGATGCTAGGCCGGAGCCCGAAGTAAAACGCCATCCTCAGTTTTCTAGACTGGATCGCCCGACATTTCGCTAAATCCGAGAGCAAGTAGGCGGAAACATTATGGAGTGACGCCTGATGTCGACCACCGTTTTTCCTCTTACAAAGTTACCTAGTCCGTAAGTTACAACGATGAATTTTTCCAGAAAATCCTTTAACCAATTAATCAAAAAAAAATACAGACATGTGGCATCGGAGGAATGGGATGAATTTGCTTGGCTACGTGCTGCGGCGGTTGTTGGCTTTATAATCTTGGTGTGCGGGTGCTCATGTCTTGTTTCGCTGTGCAAGTGAGGCTTGAATTAATTTGCCAGTGCTAATAATTGAGCTAATTTTTGCTAAAAACCTCAAAAATTTAGATCTTCGACTAGAACCCGGGTTACGCGCTATGATTTGCTCTCGGTAAAAGTAAGTGAGCCAATAAAGCATGCAAAAACGATCCTTTAGGAAGTCTACCCGCATTTGGCCTCGGATTCCGAGTCTGACGACGATATTTTTGGGGATGCTGTGCGGATGAAACCAACGAAGACTCTGCTTTCTAGTCAAGAGCCGGCCACTGACTAAAAAAAACGCAATTTTGTTCTTTTGCTACTTTGTGATAACTCGATTCGATATTCTCGCCATATCCATGTCTAGAGAAAGATAAAAAGACTTCATCTATTAGAACTCGAACGAAGGAGGCCTCTCGCCTCGAGCAGGTTCAGTTAAAACAGCAAAATTGTCTTAGAAAATGCTAAGAGACCCATATTTACAGAGCCCCCAAATTGCCCAAAAGAGCGGTCCAAAAGCTATGCACAAAACGCAAAACTAGTGCCATAGCTTCCGCCAATGGCCAGCAACATTTCCCCCAAAAAGCAAAAATTTTGACCCCTGAGTGACTCGAACACCCAACCTTTCGATCTGGAGTCGAACGCGCTACCATTGCGCCAAGGAGTCACAGGGCGCCGGGCCACCGAGGGGCTATATGAAAGGTGGGCCGGGGGCCGAGAGGGCGCAGACGGGCAGGGAGAGACACAGCCGATGCCCCGGGACGCGGGTTTGTCCAAAAGTGGCACGATTTGTTGCTATCGTGAGTGTTTGAGGTGAAATTGCAGCGTTGGCAACGAGCCAAATTTTTTTTGGGAGAGAAGCCGTTGCTTTGGAGATCTTTTGGATAATTTCCGGTGGCGACAATCGAGGTATTTAGCTGTTTGAACGTTGTTTTTTCAGGCTTCACCGTCGTAAACCTTCAGATTGACCGGAGTTCTATCCATCTTTACCTTTTCTTTTTGAAGGCTATTCTTTCAAGGTTATTCCTGCAATTGAATTCAATTCTATAAGCGAGTAAGTAGACAATACGCATTTTTACATTAAATTCTGGCCGTTATTTTACAAAAATACAAAAACTACTTATCGTCTGGTCATCAAAATAATCTAATTTGCTTTTGAGCCCGTTTTCGGATACTTTCAATCTTGGTTTTTCTCTGGTTCGCCCACCATCGGATTTTCAATTTACATAAAAATAATAAAACTTTGGCCGAATTTTCAAATTACCAGATCTTTCGATTGGATAACAGTCTTTTGTTAGCGTTCATTGGCCCATTTTTTGCTATTTTTACCGGGTTTTTTTATTGACTTACCATGATTTTTCCGGAGGAATTCCAAATCGCAGGAAAAAACGCGAATCAAAACCAACTTTTGCCCGGATTTGGAGCGTTTGTCTTCAAATTCAGACTGTCGGCCAGAAAAGTCAACTTTCCGTGTCGAGTGCTTGTTGTATAATTTTAACTACGTTTGGATAACTACTAATGTTTTTTTCAGCCCTAATACCTTTTTTTTGCACAGGTTCCCCTTGATCGTTACCGATTGTAGACTGCAAAAGAATGACTGTCTCGGGCGCGTGTGCTGCGTGAGAGAATGCAAAGAGTCGAGAGAGACACGAGCATTTCGCGGCGTGATCTGCCAATGCCAACCCGTTCGTCGGGTTGAAGGGCGCCCGGCGATCGCGATTGGAAATTTTCGGCTTCTTCCCTTGCTTTCTGCGCTTCTATAGGGCGGTTAGCAAATTTTGCACGACTCGCGCGTTATTTTAATGCATTCAGCATAAGTATTTAAGCCCTAAAAAAAGGTCTTTTAGCTTAGAAATTAGGCTTTAATACCCTAAATTACATTTTAGGATGTATCTTTATACCTTTTTCAGTCTTTTCCCCTCTATTTTTCCCTTCTATAACATGCTCTCTTTCTCGAAACTTCATCTTCGATCTTGAAATCCATCAAAAATCCCTTTTCCAGGCATGCGTTGTGATGACCGAAGACACTCAGCCACTACACCCAGTTCGTGCTCTATTAAAACAGGTGAGAACCAGTTTTTCTCGCTTAGAAAGTTCATTAGATCACGGACCGCACCAAGTTCACGCGTGATCAACGGGTTGAAGCGTCGTCAAAACTTGTGGAAAATTTGGAAGTTATCGATAATTTGCAGGTAATCATTTGCGTTGTACGACACCTTCTGAATTTAGGAACTCTCCGGTGGTTGGCAAGAGCTATGTGACGAGATCATGCTGACGCTCGGCGTCCGTGTCGGCCCACTTGAGCTCAAGAAAAATATTGCTCGCGCGATCGGACTGATCGGTGGACTGACTGGCTGGGAATATGTTGGGTACGTTTTTTTGGCTAAATACACAATTTTTTCGTTTGTTCATTTCAGGTTTGTCGAATGGATTTTGATGGTTATTAAAGGGCTCCATCTCAAAGCGGATGACGAGCGTTCTTATCTCATCAGGTACAGCTAGTCAAAAACTTATTATCAATTTTTAGTGCTGCCGCTTCTTCAACAGGCCCCATCCTCGCGCAATGTTTTCCTTTTAACGAAAAAGCGGCCAGGGTAAGCTTTTGAGCGGAATTAGAATTATTTGATTTAGGCTCTGATCACATTCGCCCTCGAGAAGCTAGAGGACAACACTGTCCCGAAGGTGATAACAAACAAATTTATAAACTTTAGTTTAGGTACACGCTGCGCTGATGGATCTGTGTGTAGCTATTTCACAGCTATCACCCAGTGTTGCTGACGAACATTTTGAGGTAGAAAACTCGAATAGCTTTTAATATAATTTTTTAGGACATGGTTGATTTGACGATCGGCTGGCTGATCGACGACACGGTCTCGAAGAGCATTCACTCAAAATGTGAAGAGGTAAGCAATTTATAATCAAGCCAAATCACGAATTAGACGCTATTCGGCATGGCCCCGTCTTGGCTGAAGCGCCCCGACTACGCAAACGGTCTGCTGCAACAATTTCGTCAGGACATCGACGCGGATCTGGCGGTTTGTGCGAGTAAACGGAAACAGTTTTGTTTAGGATATCGTCAAGGGTACCCTGAATCGTCGCAAAACGCGGGACACCCTGACCCGCGCTGCCTCACTGATCCATAATCATGCTGTCATTATGCGAATTTATCTGGACGATCCCATGCAGTTCCATGCTTTCTTCAACACCGCTATTGAGGAGGTGCGCTTCCTTGATTCATTTGAAAATAAGAAACAAACCGTTTTTAGGGGCTGAAAGACTTCGAGAAATACGCGGACATTTTAAAAACCGTTCCGGTCAACGCGAACAAGCTCTTCCTGATGATGGTCGATTGTTTGGAGCTTCTAGTAACACTGAGCGGATTCTTCGAGAAAGAAGTAGGGTTTTTAGTTGATCAAAAACACAAATTTCAGATGTGCACGCCTCTTTTCCGGTGTGCCTACCTTCTGGCAGTACGGGTGCTCTCACATACTTCATCCCCACTTGTCGCTCGTACATATATCGGATGGATTTCTAGGGTAACACTGAAAAACTAGACCTAAAACGAATTTAGGCTCTCGCTGCCACCGACCTCACTGACCATTACGACATCCTCCAAACGCTTCTGGTGAAAGAAGACAATGGCCGCCCAGCCGTTTTGTTCGAGATCCTTGGCATGCCAGAAGTATCAACCAGTGCCGCCGCCTTGCTCGTTAGCATGCTGGCCGAGAAAAAATATCAGCTCACTTCAAACTACATACGTGGCCGTAGTCGAGAATTGGCAGCGTAAGGCGCTAAGATTAAAATAGAAAAATATTTTTAGGCTATCGCGCCTCCCTGGGGTCCGCTCATCCCAACTCGATCTGCTACCTGACGCTGACACGCGCGCTTCGACGCTTGGCGCTGGTGAAGAACTCATTCATCGTGGTGAGTTTCTGTGTTTATCCTCTAAAATTACTCTCAGATGATGCTACACCCGCCTCTATTCGGACTTCTCTCCGGAAGCATTGTTGAGGATCCGTCGTTCGCTATCCGAAATCCCCGAGAGCACTCGGCCTGTCTGAATCTTTTGTACATACACTGTGAAAGGTAAATTTTTGGGAGTTTATTGGTTTTAGACTATTCAATGACCTGACTGATCATTTATCTTCTTCAGTCACGAGTTCTTCGTCACAAACTCTCAAATACTGGCCAACGCCTCGGTCAGCTCGCCGAAGCACATCAGCAACCTGAACGCTGGAAATGCCGAGGTAACTTCTGCGCTTTCGACTTGTCTTAACGAGTTCTTTTAGACACAACTGGATATGTTGACAGATCTCCTATCACTGGGCGACGAACTTTGTCCAAAATCCAGGTTTGCAGTACGACTTTGCGATTAAATTTCCTATTTCAGAAGCTTGGTTGACGACTGGATTTCTGGGCTCGTGACGAGTGTCGAGAAGGCGGCGGTCCCTGTAATCTTCGGTCACGCGAAATTTTTGAAGTTGAAAGCGGCGCTGCTGACAGCAACCGTCCGCGATCCGACGAAATGTGGCCGGTCCGTTCTCTCCGGATCCGGAAATATAATCTTTTAGGTTGGAGCCCGCGCTGAAAACCCTGCGGATTTATGCCCCGGAAAGCGAAGCCGACACCGATTCGCTAATGGCTGAAGTGAGGCCGGCTACTGGGGTCAGTAATTTCCAAAAATCCCTCAAATTTTTTTAGTCACTAAACCAAGAAAGCGCGGTCGCCTTGTGGCGCAGAGTCTCGAATCGCGTGCTGATAAGGTAAGGAAACCGCGAATTTAAACATTTATATCTATTTTCAGCGCCGGCGTCTCCCCGAAATTGATGGAGAAATCATGCGGTGTGCAAAAGAAGATTGTCGATCACATGTTCACGGCTGACGACTTTGGGCTGGTGATGCAGTTTCTGCTCCACCGCCAGATTCCGGTTTTCCAGAACAGCGGGTATAGGTTAAATTTATTTTTCTAGATAATAAAATACTGACATTTCGGCTTTGAAATTAATATGTTTTTCTTGTAGAACCGGATGGGCCAAAGAACTGATGGATCAATTGTCTTCGATGCTGATCAGGGACGAGCAGGAGATGACGGTTAGTTTTTTCCAGTTTTCAGATGATAATAAAAAACTTAGTTGCTGGAGCGCTGGCGCTGGGCGTTGGGACAAGCGGCGAATTATTGCATCGAGAACCGAATGCGGACCATCTACGGCGGCGCGATGGAGACGTTCTCCGAGATTTCGAAAGAGCTGAATCGGCTGGCGAAGGAGGTCGTGTCCGGAAATAGCTCACAGAAGACTGTACCGGAATTTAAGGTAAACACCCTATTTTTTTGTGTGTAAGATCCGCGGTTTTAGAAACCGTCTGGTCGGCGTGAAGAAGCTGAGGAAAACGGCGTTGTCGATTATACACCGCAAAGGTATTTCTGTGTGTCTGTATATCTTCTCTCTCTCTCTATCTCTCTCTCTCTCTCTAGCTTGTAACCTCTTAAAAATCATCGAAACGTCCCCCAAGTCCCGAAAAATATAGCCTTCCTTCCAGAGCCCTGACTGACATCGAAGAATGGTGGCGCATTCGTCTCCTCATCGAATTTTTCGAGCTGCTCGAGAAGCTGATGTTCTACGCGCGCAGCGGCACCGCCTTCCCGATTTGCCCTACAAATGAAGTTGGATCTTACTTTTTCAAAAACCCAAATTTTAGGCAGCGTTCAACTTCTTCGTCCAGAACCTGAAGGCCTGCCAAGAATGGCTGGCGCGCACCTACCTCTCCGTCATGGCCCTGGCTTACACGGCTGGAGCGTATGCGCAGGTTTCTAAGAGGCTTTAGATGGCTTACCGGTTTTTCTAGGTGATTCGGGTTGGCGGCGCGGTTTTCCGGGATTTCGAGACGAAGCAACATGCGAAGACAACGAGTCCTGAGGTCTGTTTGGACAATAAAACAAGACGCAATTTTTTAGGGAGTTGATGCGGCGCAGCCGCGACTCTCGGGAACCTTATTGGCGGCTACGCAATGGATGATCCGAGCAATGGTGCAACTTGGGTGCGAATCAACGAAATTGCGTTCTTTTTTAGTTTAGAAATATTTTCTCAGTTTCTTCTTACTTAAAAAAACTTACTTTCTTCTTTCTTCTTCTGTTAACTCTGCCGCAATCACCTACGTTCTAAAAAGCCTGAAGAAGCAATTGCGGAGTAGATGAACTGCTAGAAATCAGCAAAAAAATTCTAGGAAAAATGAATCTTGGCCGAATCAACCATACTTTCATATCAAAGTCATTTTCAGTGACGAGGAATCCGTCATCGGGATCGGAAAGTGGCTCTCGCCAATCGTGTCCGGCGATTTGACCTGGGTTTTCATATGCGCGGATGTAGCGGCTGCCAGGTATTTCTTTGACTCACAATTGGAAGAATCCAATCTTCAGATGGGAAATGGCAATTGGAAAACTGCGCCAAATACTATTGCCCGTTAACGAGGAGACCCCGGACAGTCGATTTGCTCGAGAGATGGTTTGTTCGCTTTATCGCTCTTTTCATTATTTTTTTTTGGCAGATGTTGCATTGTATCGAGAGCATCCGTCTGCCGGAACTGATGAACCCCACCGGATGCCCGCTGAACCTGTCGGTGTGGACCTTGATGGGCTCGGATTCGAGCTCGACCTTTCCCGACGCGCCTCCTGGATTTGACACGCGTGCTTTTGAACGGTTTGCTAGGGGCAATGTACTAATCAGGAGTTGATTTCAGTTGCCGAGATCTGTGCATTTTTGGAAAAGTGGAAAAGGGGGAATCGGCGGCGCTTCCTTGGAATTTCCTGGAGAAGAGCAAAGAGACCGAACATTTGCTGCTAACGACAATGCGCAGGTAGTTGATGCTGTCGATTTGGTTGAGAATGTCGAAATTTTTATAAACGTTCGGCGAGGCTCCGGAATAGCTTACCAAAATTCTCGACATTTTGACGCAAAACAATGTTTTCAAGTTTTATTTATTACAGTTTTTTATAGATTTTCATTTTTCGATTTTCCTATTTAGAAATGAAATGACCGACATCGAATACTCATTCGCCAACGAAGCCCTGGCCGTCTTTTCGCAAGAGGGCCCCTCTCGACTCCACACTCGCCTGTCAATCGTTGAGACGATTTCGCGCTGCATCTCGAACCGGATGTTCCGGAAAGGAAGCGACTTGACTGAGGCGCACGGGGTAAGCCAGATTTTTACCATCACTACCTGTATAATTCAGGCTATCCTCGCCGAGCTCGACCCGGCATTCATCTTGAAAAATTCGGCATTTGATTTGGGCGAAAGGCTTACCTTGGCCCGGTGAGTTTTTGGATGCTGAAAAACGTCTAATTTTTTTAGAAAAATGATCCTCTGGACGGAGCGTTTGGCGAGCCATGCCTCGATCGAGTCGCACATCGCCCTCGCGAGGCTTGCTAGAAAGCGCGATAACAAGTAATTATTAATCTTACTTTATTATTTCCATTACCTTAGGTTGCTCTCCGGCGTCCATTTGATGAAGGCCGCCTCGCTAAGCTCTACAAGCGAGACTCCGTTTGTAGCGCAGACCAGGATTGCTGTTCAAGGCGCCAAAAATGTATGTCTGATTCGATTTTAATTTAGTTTTTATAATTTAACAAATATATATAATTTAATCAAAAAAAAATTAATTTGAACTTTTAGCTTTGGGACAGCGCCACTCAGGAAGTGAGGGCTAGCCACTTTGTGCGGTTGTTCGGCCTGGCGACGAAGACGTTCGACATCGATCTGATGAATCGGGTTTCGGTTGGTTGCGCGGCGGATTTTTAGAGGCTCTTAAAATATTTTATTTTCGTGTATTTTTTGTAGATACCGCCTCCAAATGTGAATAATCACATCCGGGCCCAGAACGGCTTCACCCCAAATAGTGCCCAAAACAACCACGCGGCTACCAATGGCCCTTTTCACCTTCAGCAAGAGAGTCTGGGTGATTTTTGCTTGGCGCGTAGCTTTCAACTACCGGTTCTAGAAACGGTAGCCACGGCTGAAGCGTCGGTGCTGCTCTCACGATGGCTGCTAGAAGACCCGCAGCTTGTCAACCATATTCCTCCGGAATTGAACCAACATCCGCTTATGGTAGGTGCACCGGAGTTTTTTTTATTTTTTAGATCATTATTTTAATATTGTTTTTGCTAAGGTTTAGCTAATTGAAAAATGTTTATAAATTTGAAATTTTGTCCGAAAATTCGTGATGATTTGTTGAATGACGAAAAATGGATTCCTTACATTTTTCGAAAAATTATAGCGTTTTTTTACAATTTGACCGCAGTTACGACAGAACCCTTTTCAGTCCCAAGTCAGCCGCGGCTACCACGAGTTCGGGTTCGGCGACCTCGCCGGAGGCCTCCTGTTGCATGCTACGAAGTATGAAATGGGATTTTGTAAAAAAATTGGCTTTTTAGGATTGCACCCAGCGTGACGAAAGCCCACCAAAACCTTGCCGACTGGGCCCTGGCTCATGCGAAAGAATACGGATTTGTGCCCGAGCGTGACGCTTTCATTCAATATCTTGTATGTGACAAGAATTATCGGGATTACCACTTTAAAAATATGGAAATTCATAATGCCGAAATTTAGTATTGTCGAAATTTACATGAATTTGCTCTCCCGCAAAATCTCCAAAAAATAAAAAAATCCCAGCTAGAAATCATTATGAATTTCAAAAATATGACAAAAAATTAAATAATCCGAATATTTCTGAATTTCAGGCCGTGTACTACCCAGAGCTTGAGGCTCCCGAATGGTCGGATCCCCTCTGGATTGCCGTGACGACCAGCAATGACCTATCCTCTCTTATGGCATCAGTTCGGAAACTTTTTGAGGGCACTTTCCCCAATCCCAGCGAGAGGTTGGTCGTCTACGAATTCGCGTAATCCACTTTTTAGCTTGCTCAGAGACGAGAATTTTACGGCGGTATGGGCGGCGCAGTTGGCGAGGAGACGCAATCTGCTGAGCATTGGAGTCAATGCCCTATTTGGCACGCTCAACAATGCCTCGACGGAATCGACCGGAAAAGTACTGAAAGCCGTCGGCTGTTGCTCATGATTTGATTTTCAGCAGTCCATCCGAGGCGTACAGTCCTGCTTGCGACTTCTCGACCTACTCGTCGACCACGCCGAGCTCGTCGACGAGCCAATGAAGCGCGGCCTCTCCCGTATGGACAAACGCCAATGGGTGTCCCTGCTGCCCCAGTTGTTCGCCCGCCTTACCCATCCGGCAAGACTTGTTCGCGAGACGGTCGTCGATCTGCTCATGCAAATCGGTATATTTTTTTGTTCCGAAAATTACTGGACAATTCAGGCCGCGCTGCCCCACATGCCATCATCTATCAAGTCGTTGTCGGCGCCTCCAGCCAAATGCTGATCGACGGGGACGACGTCGTCGAGGTGTACAGCAACGAGGGACCCGATCATCGCCGAGAGCGGTCGCTGATGTGGGAGGGCTGCCGAAAGATCGAGCAGAGCCTGCTGCAACATTATCCGGCACTCGTCACCGATGTGCGCGTCTTTGTCGACGAGTTGCAAAAGATTAACCTTTTGCCGGAAGAGAGGTGGATTTTGCGGGGGTTTTTTTACTGGGCTCTCGTTGTTTTTAGAAATTAGTATCATCAATTCAGATGGGCATTTGTTCTGGCCAACATCAACCAAGACATGGATAAACGACTCGCCCACCTCCGCGCTGAATCTGAACGCACGATGAAGGCCGAACACCTCGACGAGAAGGAGCGTCAGGAAATCGTTCAAGAAAAGACGCGTCTTATCACGACACCGGTAAGGCGTACGTGCCGTTCTAGATTCACAATCTAGGTCTACCGTCTACTCGACGATCTCTACGACCGTACCTTCCAAGAATCGTCGATGACCTCCAATGAAAAGGTGCATTGGTCTTGGCTGGCGAAACCCACCGATATTCAGGCTTTCGTGAAGCAATTTGGCGACCAAGTCCGCAGCACATTCGCGATGAGCCGCGAAAATCGTCACCTGCCGGACAAGGCGTGGGCCCCGTTCAAGCAGCTCCTGGCCCTACTGATCCAACGTACATCAAGACGGGTCATTCCGATCCTACAACTTTCGGAGATCAACGACCACTTGGCAAAGGTATTTTGAAAGGATGTAGGGATCTTGTGCTTTATCGGGACCATTTTGTGCTAAGGGCGAATTTTTCTAACTTAAATAGATGAAGTGTTGCCAAACGATTTTTTCTATTTCTAAACGTGACAACTAAACAAATTTTCATTGAAATACAAAAAAATATTGGTGTTTCCACCAATGGGCGATTTTCACCAGCTTCTAACTATCTTTATAAATTTCTCGGCTTGAAGGAAACCCCCCGATAATGCGAAAGAACCACTTGAAGCTGTCATGATAAACTTTGAAATATTAAAATTACCGCATTCCGTTAACTCTCGATTCCAGCTGAACGGTTCTGTCGTCCCAATGCCCGGACAAGAGCATCGCGACTATTCGCAGGTCGTCAATGTCGAACGTCTCGGCAAGCAAGTCCTCGTATTGCCCACGAAAACACGACCCAAGAAGCTGGTCTTCGTCGGCAGCGACGGCAAAGAGTACGATCTCGTTTCCGATTTGCAACCAACCTCTAGGCAATACTTCCTTTTCAAAGGACAAGAAGACCTCCACCTTGACGAGCGCATCATGCAGTTGCTCAACATCTGTAACCTCTTGCTCCGCGGCTCTGCAATCACGAAAAGGTGCTTAGTTTTTAACTTTAACGCTCATCAAGCCGTTTTATTTTTCTCTTTATGGTAGTGTTTTCAGCGAATGGCCACATTTCGAGGCTCGTCATTACGCTGTGACGCCTCTTGGTGCGCGTTCCGGCCTAATTCAATGGGTGACCGGCTGCACCCCCCCTCTTCCAGCTATACCGAAAGTGGCAGACTCGAAGCGTAAACCTTCGTTCTCAGGTTTCTGAAACTGTTTATTTTTAGCTGGCCCAAAAACGGGCGCAAAATAAGAATCGTGACGACGCGAGCCTGGCCGCCGTCGAGAGGCCGGTGGAGATGTACACGAAAAAGCTGAGGGCTGCTTTTAAGGAGAAGGTAAATTGTCATTCTCTGCTCATTTGTCTAATCCTGCTGTAAAGCGATGCATTAATGGGAACTTCCTAGGGTGTCCCGGCTGAACATGTCAGTGAACGCTCACGATGGCCGGCTGCTGTTCTTCAAGGCCTGATGAAGGAGATGATCGAAGAAACTCCGCGGAATTTGGTTTCCAGGTGATTTTCTAGCATACCTTACGTCTCCGATTTAACTTTAATAAGCTTCTAATATCTAATTCGTTTAGAGAGCTTTGGATGCGTTCCGGATGCTCCGACGGATGGTGGCGCGTGACGTCGCGAATGGCCCGCAGCACCGCCGTAATGAGCATCATCGGTATGTTCAACGTCTTTTAACAAAAGCATTTTTTTCAGGCGCTGTCCTCGGTCTCGGCGATCGCCATCTCGACAATTTGCTGGTCAACCTGGAAACCGGGCAGTTGGTTCATATCGACTACAATGTGTGCTTTGACAAGGTTTGCAGCAAAATTCTGTCATTTACTATTATTTTTAGGGCCGTCAACTGCGGGTGCCGGAGACGGTTCCCTTCCGGTTGACGCAGAATATGGTGCAGGCGCTCGGCCCGACTCAGGTGAATTTTCAAGCTGTTGCTCTCTCACTCGCTCTCTCTCTCTCACCCTTTATCTCTCGTTATCGCTCTCGCTCTCTCGCTCATTTTCTGTCTCTCTATGTCTCTGTTTGCCTCACTCACCCCACACACTCTCTCTCTCTCTCCCGTTCTCTGTCTTTCTCTTTCTCCCTCTCTCTCTCTCTCTCTCTCTCTCTCCTCTCTCTCTCTCCTCTCTCTCTCTCTCTCTCTCTCTATAACATTGGGTTTTTGTAACCTAGATTTATTTTTAGGTGGAAGGCACATACCGTGAATCCTGTGAGAAGACATTGACCGTCTTGCGCGATGGACGCCAGGTATAAATTTGGGGAAACGAGATCACAAGCTTGATTTAGACTCTAATCAACATGCTCGACGCGTTCGTCTACGATCCGCTCATCGACTGGGCCAATGCCACCGACCATCTGGTGATGAGTGCCGCCTCGGTTAATGTCGCCGTCGCTCTCGCTGTTTATGGTAAGCATTCAAGCCTTTTTAACGATTATCTCTCAGGCACCGATTCGCGCGTCGTGGAAGCGAAACCACTCGCCCGCCAAATGTTTGCCGTGCGACTGCGCGAATATGGATTTCTCTGGCGTGCGAATAGGTATGCTGCTGTGTCATACGCTTGACTTTTTACTGTTTTAGTGCCGAGCTCGCGGAAGCCTTGTGCAATTTGACCGACGTTCTCCGACACGAACAAAGCCAGCTGGCGCTGGCCCAGAATGCGTGGAAGGACCAGGGAAAACTGGAAAATGTAGGCCCATCGTGTTGTTTATTGATTTTTTAAACTTTAGTCTCGCGACGAGGCGTTCCAAAAATTCAAGGCGGCCATCCACGGTCATCATCATTTGATGAAGAATTTCCGTCCGTTGCTGCGAGCGCTATCGACGGTATGCGTTTTAATTTAGCTGCCTAATTTTAATTTAACTCTAGCCTTATTTTGATATCGGTTATTTCAAAATAGGTTCTTTAGGAGTTTCGATCGAACAAAACAAAAATATAGAATTTTTGACAAAAATTTCGACGAAAAATGTTATTAGATTGTTTCTGTTTTTGTACTTGAAATAAAGTTAAGTTTTAATAAACCTACTATTAAAATACTGACTGTAACATTCCTAGGGATTTCGGGACATATAGGAAATCCCCCCCCCCCATATTTAATTTTAGTGTGATGAGCGGTTCGCCAACTACTCGCGATTGTACCGCGAATCTTTTGCTGACCCGGTGGTGTACACGCACACCGCCTTGGAGGCGAACCCGCCCCAGCTGGCGATGGCCGTCGAATTGTTGAGAAATCTGGATGCTTCCATGAATAGGTTTGACATCAGCTGCACCCTGAAATTGACAACATTTAGCGTCTACAGCGACCTGCTAGCTCTGCGTGAGCAACCTCCAGTCGATATTCAAAAGGAAAATGCGCCCAAAAATATCACACCGCCACCTGGATTTGAAGGCAAGTTTCGGGATCTTTAGGCTATTTGTTTTCAGAGGTCGATCTGGCCAGGAACCAAAAGCAAGAGCAAAACGTCTACGCAAGAGGGGTCAGCAAAAAGGTGGAGGCCCGTCTGGAGGGCCGTATCGATGCCAACGATCCGGATCGAGCCTACACCCCACAAGAACAGGTATTCACCTCGTTTTCGCTCTTTAATTTACACCTCCAGGTGGAGCAATGGATCGACGCGTCAACGTCACTCGCCAATTTGGCTTTAATGTATGAAGGATGGACAGCTTGGGTGTAATGCAATGACAGATTGTTGTTCCGAGCACAATCGGCGGTGAGTTTCAGCTGTTTTGGTGCCGGACTGTTAGCGGGGAGGGGGTGCTAATATTTCCCAGTAATTCCATCGAAAGTTTTTTCCGAAATTTGGTAATTTTTTATACCTTTCAAGCAACCAAGAACCACTAAAAACACTAAAAATGATAGAATTTGAACAAACATAGGCGAAAAGACAAAATTTAGTTCCTCGCTAACACGCCCCCCCTCCCGATAACAGTCCAGTACCTTTATTTTTGGAATACGTATTTTTAATAGCTTACGGTGCTTAATTAATGAATCTTTTAAATCCTGATTAATTTTCATAATTTAAATTAATTAAAAAATAATATTAATAGGAATTGGAATACAGGGTATATATATATTTTTTTTCAGAAAGCCGACGGGAACGTTATGGGTGGCAGGGATCGCATTGGGCAGCTTCAGCCCCCCGTCCGGGGGGCTTCATCAGGACACCGTCTTCACGAATCTCCCACGAACATTCACGACCCCGAGTATCTCGAACGATTTGTCGAGAAATGAGGAGAGACCGTTCGTCCCACCCCAAATATGATGCCCCCATCGCACCCGCCGTTCCTCTTTTTTGCCATCACACACGCACAGCCACAAACATCTTTTGGCGGTCATTGTAATTTTTGCGTCTTTACTTTCCCCCCGGTTTTGGTTTCTTTGCCCCCCTATTCTCTTCTTCTTTCTTTTTATCCGTTTCTTCACGCTCACCCCTACTAGTTTAATTTTATTTTACCGTCATTTTACCTCGCCCCTTTTTAATCGTTCGTCACCATTCAGTCATATGCAGTCTAATAATAAATGCTAATTTTAACTTTTTATGCTTCTTACATTGCACTTTTTCAGACGATGGTTTCGGCCTGGATATTATGAAAAAGATGATATGTCATTTTGAAGAAGGATATATTGAGGTACTTTTGTATTATCGGAGGGGAAACCACGCGTTTTTTGCTATTAATCTAGGTGGGTTCAGAAATAAATTAGAACGTTCTTTTTGTCAAGTTTGGGGTTGATTTTAGGCGAATTTGAGTGGAACAAACTTTTAAAACAAGGGTAAATAAGTTTAGGCATTATGGAGTGGCAAATTTTCGGGATTTTGGTATAAAAATGGATCATTTAGGTCGAAAACTGGTATTATCCCACGGTGTCTTAGAGCGCGCACGGGGGGTGGGGACGGGCATGGCCTAGTGGTCTAAGGCGGCGGTCGGAGTGAGAGGCGCGGGGTCCTGGTTCGATTCCTCCCCTCGCATAAAGACGCGACACCGTTTTGCTTTTTTTGCACAAGTTTCTGAAAGGTACCAACAACAAATCTTTAGCAAATTCCAGGTAGAAAGTTAAACAGATGGGGCCGCCCGGAGGCCGAATCAGAAAATCATCTTGATTTTTGCTTCAAAACGTTTCAGGTCCTTATTTTTCCCGGCGATCGCCCAAATTCTTTGACTAAAATGTTCCCTATAGTCTTCTCTATCGATCGCCAGGCGGAACATTTTTAATTGTTTTTCGAAAAAAAGTTATAACCTTTAGAAAGCTTTTTCCCCATACATTTTGGGGACTAAAAGGGGGCGTGGCCTAGCCCAGTCCCTCCCGATCCCCCGTGCGCGCTCCAAGTAAGGCCTAAGACGCCGTGATCCTCTAGATAGCTTGCCTTTAAAACCAATTTATAAAGTTTTGCGTTGTTTGTATCTAGTAAAACGTAAACTGAAACGGGTTTCCGATCTCCACAGTGTCGAAATTCAAGATGTCGGCATTTCATAGTGCTGACATTTTTTTAATGTTATTTGGGAAGTTTTTCCATGAAAAGCTCGACTTTTTCAAGGTGGTCCACGAAATGCTAACGTAACTTGTAAGGAAAACCCCCGAGTAATTTGTTCAAAGCCCCTGGGTGATGCGGCGCTGCCTCCAGGTACTGATAGGCCATGTCGGGGGCCCAAATGGTCGCCCATGAATCGTGGTCCCGCGATGTGGCCCCTTCACAAAAAGAGGTGATTGTTTGGGGAACTTGCGACAACTGCTTCCCCTTGCAATGATTTGTGGAACGTCAACTTGCGTGCTGTAGGCGGCCGTGGTTTTTTGGTATGCTCTGGCGAAATTCCTCAGGTGGCGTAAAGCGCGCTTGCCCACGGCCGAGAAAACTCACCCAAGAATGGTGGCCAGAAGTGCAAAATTGACCATAGGAGCCAGGTGTAGCGTAAAGTACGGAGGTGTAGTACGTAGTTTAAGACGTATAGCAGGGTTTTTTAGGTATATGGATTCGCAATTACGGCATAACTTCGTGGGTACCGGACTATTAGCGGGGAGAAATGAATTTTTACTTTTCCGGCCGTAAACGCCTGTTCATAATAGATATATAGTTTGTTTTTATTGTGGTTTTAATAGTTTTTGATTGCTAGAAAATTCCGAAAAAATTTAGATTTTTTTGAGAAAATTCGAAAATTTTTATGAGTTTTAGCTTTTGTATTTAAAAACGGTGTCAATGCTATAAACAATTGTTTAGATTTTCATAGAATTTATGTATTACCGGATTACTGGGGTACATTCCCCCCCCCCCTGCTAACGGTCCAGTACCATTTCATGTAAACGCGCTTTGAGTTTCCGGTTACTATTTAGTGTACGGGGTTATAGTATGTAGTTTATAGTGGAGTACCTATAGTTTGGTATAATACGCTACGTATTTTGTAGACGTTTTGGTATAAATATATCGATTCGCTAATTTGGCGTAATTTGGTGTAAAGGTTTTTGATTTTCCGTTTATTTGCTAGTGTCGAGGGTGTAGTTTGTCGTAGTTTTAGTGTGTACAGTACGGTTTAGCACGTATTTTGCAGACCGTTCAGCATAAATATATGTATTCGACAAGTCAACGTTAAAAATACAGACACAATTCGGTGTGCGCGTGGATCGGGGGAGGGGGACAGAAGTGTGTGGGCTGGGGAGGGGGAGAGCGGATAGGCGATTGGCAAGCGTGATGAGGTGACTTGGCGATAAATGCGATGCGATATTGCGGGGAGATGTTGGTGGATCATTCGGATGGACATGACGGTGATGACAGATCGCCGGGGGTAAGGTGGGGGCTGAAGCCGCTCATCGGGCCCGGCGGGAATCCGGGCATTTGGCCCATATCGTCGGGGAAGCCCTGAAATAAATGGCGTTAGTTTTTGGTTTCATGGAACCTTTTTGGTGCTTTTGCGTTATCGGGGGGGGGGGAGGGGCTACAAATCCTATAAATATGAAATTCTTTGAATCGTATAAAGTTGCACGAATTTTCTCCTATAAACGTCTAGTAATGTAAAAACAAGCTTTTAATAGCGTTTCTTTGCAAATTAGGATATACATATTTCAAGTAAAAATTCTCGAAAAACTTTAAGAATGACAATTGGGCGGAAAATCGGCCATTTTTGGGGCGAAAATCTGATGTTTTGTATTTTTTAAGCAAAATATGTAATTTGTTACGTTTAGAAATAGTAAAAAAAACAGGATAGCAACACTTAATCTATTTATATTATAAAAAAATGGATTCTTAAGCAATATAAATATTTTTTCTTAATTTGAACGATTTTTGTTTATATAACTATAGTTTTTATGATAGTAATTTTATAGAAATTTATTCATTTCCCCTGCCAAAAGCCGGCCAAATTTTAACTGGGTATTCAGGTGTCAGTCGGAAGCAATCTCGAGCCCGCCGAGGCACGCCGACACCTGTATGGAAGTGTTTGGGCAGCTGGTGCCTCCGGTTTGACACCATATAGCCCGGGCGGGCCACTTGACTACTCTTTACGGCCCCCCAGTCGTCAATTGGTGGGATTGGTTCCGGGGGTTGAGGTCGACTCGGTTCTTTACGAGTTCTTTCTCGTTATCGGGGGGGGGGGGAAGGTTTTTCTAAGTGTCCAATTTTTCAAATAAAAACAGCAGAAGTGTTTCTAAATGTTTTTTACTATTTCTAAGCGTAAAAAATTACAAATTTTTATTAAAAAATACATATCATTGACTTTTTGACCAAAACTGCCCATTTTTGACCAAAATTGCCACTTTTTAAAGTTTGGGATAGTTATTTAGTTAAATTTAGTTTGATTTTAACGTTCATTTTTAATTTTAACACTATTAAAATGCTTTCTACAAAGTTGCTAGCCATTCATAGACTTATGCAAAAAATTTCGCCTCCCCCCCGTTACTGGAAAAGAGCGCAAAACGGTATTTTAAGGTTTTTTAGGCTTCGAATGTCGTTTCTAGATTCTGATTAGCAACCTACCACCGGATATGGCTGCTGCACAAATGGAGGGGGCCCGTCGTGCGCTGACGGCCATTGGGCAAAGTGGCGAATGTCGAGCGGAAGCGGACCGCCGTCGGGCATGTGGCTTTGCGGCGACATGGCGATCAACGGGCCGACGCCGTGGAGGCGGATGCCTTGTAGTGCGGCTTCCTATAGAAATTGTGTAAATTAGTGGTTTTATTAATTGAATATTGTAATTTATAGGCTCGCCTTCGCCGTCCTTTTATTGGTTACTAAGCGTCCTAGCTTTCTCCAGTTTTCACCTAGCTTTAAGGTAGTTATTTTAGCCATTTTTTGGGTTTAATTTTATAAGCTCAAACCTTCCTGTACATTTGGGAGTACGGACTGTTAGCGGGGGAGTGTGAAAGGTAGAAGGCCTGTTTATATCTTCTCATATATACCATGGTATATAGCAACTTGTGAGAATTTAGAATTTAACCTTTTTCGCCATTTTCATACATTTTTCTTCGTCTTTTCTAGCTCGAAAATTGTACAAATATTTAAATTTTTGAAAATTCGAAAGCGTTGACATTCCTTGGTTATTTTTCAACGATTTTTTACCAAGACCCGACATTTTTGGAAATTTTTTAATCTTTGAGCGATTTTTATATCTAAAACCATTGCAAAATGATGTAAAAATGGGCTATATTTTGTTATAGGGCCGTAGAGAATCACTGGGAAAAGTTTGGTTCCCCCGCTAACAGTCCAGTACCGATTTCGATCTGGGTAATGGGCACAAGTTTTCCCCGGATTTAACACGTTGGCCCTATTCCAAGCATGAAAATGCCCTATGAAACCCCCATATTTTTTTTTATTACACCCATATTTCGCCCCATTCCCCCGGCGCGTATGTGGCGGTGTCCTAATAATGGATAATGTGCGTACACGCGCCCATCCCTTGCCCAAATGTTGTGACGACCGCGCCAGGGGAGGTCGTCTTGGGATGGGAGGCGAAAAAGGGGGGTAATTATTGGGAGGATGGGCGGTGGAGGGGAGGGAGGAACTGTAGGGGAGCCGCGCGCCGACCGGAAACATTAGAAATTAGAGACAGATGGCCGCGACATGGAGGGGGAAAAGAGACCGTATACACAATCGCCATACGGTGCGGCGCGCGCAGCGCATTCTGATGCGATAACGCGAATCAGGGGCGTGAAACCTGTTTTTGAGGTGACGCCAGGATATGGTAGCCCGCGTAGCTGAGTGGACTATGACTACGGTAAGATGGAAAACCGGATCCGTTCAATTT